ATTTCAAAAACATATGCTAACTTTTTTTCTGAGTGTAAACATTTTTTCAAAAAAAAAAAAAAATACAAATTTCAAATTGAAAATGTAATAAAATCGTAGAAATAATGTTTATGTGACTATTAAATTATTAAAAAATATTTGCCAAACAATTTTTTTCTGAGTGTATCATTTTTTCAAAAAAAAAAAAAAAATTATTTTTTTTTTAATTGAAAAGTGTTGATTAAATAACAGTTAAAATGTTTATTTGAAAAAAATTCTTAAATTTTAATTTCAAACATTTTTTTCTGAGTTTAAAATTCTTTGAAAAAATTACAAGTTTCAAATTGAAAATGTGATTAAATGACGGAAATAATATTCATGTGAGTTTTAATTTTTTTTTTTGAGTGTATCCACTCGTTAAAATTAGAAAATTTTTTTTTCGAGTGTAAAAATAAAATTCTAATTGTTGCCAAAAAGTTTTTGATTACAGGAAAATGTTTCTAATATTATTTTTTTTTCTAAAATTTAAAAGTTGAATTTTCAATTTTTTTTCTGAGTGTAAAAATTTTTTTAGTAGGATTTAATTTTTTTTTTTTAATTAAGAACAGATATTATAGAGACCCTGTTATTTATTTTTTTGTCTTTTTTTTTAATTGTCGATTTTTTTACCTCTCCCCATAAATCTTATTTTCTAAAAGCCAAATTGTGTTTGTGGAAATTATGTATATATGTTGTATAATATATAATAAAAAAACAATACTTATAACATGAGATCAAAGAATTTTGAAAAAGTAATCACAATATTAATAAAATGTGTTTTTTTATTAATATGGAATAATTTTTTTTATAAAAATATTAAATACAAATAAAAATGTGTTTCAAAAAAGATAGGCCATTATTTAAGAGGTGACTTAATATTTGCTGGTCAAAAATATTTCTCAAATTTTTGTTATGAAAATCTTCCCTCATCCCCACCCCTTTAGTAAAACATAAATCAATTTTGCGCCATTTTTGTTTTGTGTATCGTTTTTCGTTTTTTTTTTGTATTTTCTATTCTTGTTACGTTTAAATCCTTCTCCTTCTTCCTCAAAAAAAAAAAACACAGAAAAATTTTAACCATGGGGGGATGGCTTCAGAGACCAGAGCAGCATGCATTCGGTTGAAACAAAACTTTGTTTCGTTTTTTTCTTGTTCACCAAAGACAAAAAATAATGAAAATATTTTCTATCACATTTCTTTTTTTTTCTAGATTTCACAGCACAAAATTGTTGGATTTTTTGTTTGTTTTCTTTGTATGTTATTTTTTATATATAGTAGATATAGTTAAAAAATAAAATATATATATGTATACATAGTTATTAATTATTATTAATGATAATTAAAAACAAAAAAAAAAAAAAGAGAAAATTATTTTATTTTTAAAGAAGATTTAAAATAAACTATTTTGAAAAACTGTCGAAGAGAAAGAGAGGGGATTTTTGAATGAAGAATTGAATTTTTTTTAGATTGTTTTAAAATTTTAATTTTTATTAGGGAGAAAAAAATAATTTAATATTAAAAAGGAAATATTTAAATCCGGCTCTACATTTGTAAATTTTATAGCAACATTTGAAAATCGGTCTTTACATTCCAAAATGTTGCCTCAAATGTTGGTTCAAAATGTAGAAATGTTGCGTCAACATTTTTACATCCTGCCTCAACATTTGAAAATACTTCGCAACATTTTAAAATCCTACCTTACATTCCAAAGATGTTTCCTCAACATTTGAAAATATTTCGCAACATTTAAAAATGTTATAATCAAATCGGATTTTTAAATATTGGCTCAAAATGTTTCGCAATATTTTAAAATCTGACTCTAAATTCCAAAATGATGGCTCAACATTTGCAAATTTTACAGCAACATTTGAAAATGTTGGCTCAAAATGCGGAAATGTATCCTCAACATTTAAAAATATTGCTTCAACATTTGTACAACCTGTCTCAACATATGAAAATGTTTCACAACATTTTAAAATCGGATTCTACATTCCTACATTCTAATCGAATTCTAAATTATTTAAATTTTGTCTCACAAAACAAACAAAAATAGTTTCAATATTTTATAGCAACATTTCTAAAGTGTTAAAAAATTTGCCTCAAAATTTGGAATTGTTGTTTGAAAATTAAAAAAAAATTGCTTGAGAATGTTAAATGTAGCATCGACTTTTAAAAATGTTGCAGTGACATTGAAAAATGTTGCATCAACATTTCATGGTATTGTTTGAACATTTCAAAATGTGTCTCGAAATTCATAAATGTATCTCAGAATTTCATAAGGTAGTCTCAACATTTCAATATGCGTTTCGTCGTTTTGGAAATGTTACCGGAACATTTTAAAAATTTGCCTCAACATTTGAAAATGTGTCGCAACATTCGAAAATGTGTCCCAACATTTGTAAATATTGCATAAACTTTCTAGAATGTGTGTATATATGTGTGTATATTTCTAGAATGTGTCTCAATATATTTCAACAATTTAAAATGTATCTCAGTATATACAAATGTTGCCTCAACATTAAAAAAGGTTTCCTCAACATTGAAAACTGTTGCCTAAACATTTTCAAATGTTGCCTCAACAATAAAAAGGTTGCCTAAACATTAAAAATCTTGCCTCAACATTATAAAATGTTGCCTCAACATTAACAAATGTTGAAATAACATTATAAAATGTTGAATCAACATAAAAAAATGTTGCCTCAACATTGAAGAATGTTGTCTTAGTATCTTCAAATGTTGCCTCAACATTAAAAATCTTGCCTCAACAAAGAAAAAATTGCTTCAACATTGTAAAATGTTGCCTCAACATTATAAAATGTTGCCTCAACATTGAAAAATGTTGCCTCAACATTGAAAAATGTTGCCTCAACATTATAAAATGTTGCTTCAACATTATAAAATGTTGCCTCAACATTGTAAAATATTGCCTCAACATTTAAAAATGTTGCCTAAACATTAAAAATCTTGCCTCAACATTATAAAATGTTGCCTCAACATTATAAAAAGTTACCTCAACATTATAAAATATTACCTCAACATTATAAAATGTTGCCTCAACATTTTAAAATGTTGCCTCAACATTGAAAAATGTTGCCTCAACATTATAAAATGTTGCCTAAACAATATTTTTGAAAGGAAAAATAAAAGGAGCCAACAAAATTAAATTGAAAAAAAAAATTTTTTTTGGGAAATTTTCTAAAAGTAAAAATTTAGAAAATTATTTTTTTTTAAAAAATTATATATTTTGAAAATTCTTCATTAATTTATACAGATTTTTAGGCATAAGGGTAAAGTTATGTTAACCAAAATATGTTCAGGAATATATTGCCAGACCTATTTATTTTTTTATTTATTGTACTTCCTCTCTCTCTCTCCCAAATTTTTTTCAAATTAGTTTTGTTTTAGTGGAATGAAATAAACTACTACAAATATATATATATATATATATATATAGAAATTTTGTTACATATATATACACATATACAAATAAAAAAATTAATAATTAAGAAAAGAGAAAATTTTAAAATTAAATTAATAATTACAAAAAAAATATATAATAATATACAAATATATATACGAAATATATAGATAATAATAAAAACTAGAAAAGCTATTTTCAAGAATAAGAATAAAATATATATTTAATGTATAATATTTATATATATATAAAAAACCAAGGCAATTCATATATAACATTTATCATTATTATAAAATAATTTGTTTTTTCTTCTGAAGGACCTTGTTTTTATTTTTTTAATTAATTTAAGAATATATATATTTTTTATTAGTTAATAGTAATATAACAATAATAATTATTTATTCATAACGTTAAATAGAGATCGTAAAGTGTGTGTGTTGTTTGTTGTTGTGTATTGAATTTGAAAATAATGTGTTTGAAATTTTTTTGAGTCGTTCGTGGTGTTGGTGATTGGAAAAAATTAGATTTTTTAAATTGTTTTTTTTTAATTTTTTTTGTTAAACAAAAGCTTTGCAAAAAGACACACAATACCGAAAATTATTGATTTCCTTTTTGTTTATTTATTTTGCGTAAAGAGTTCTCAATTTTTTTCTGGTTGCTGAATTATTTGTTTTTCGTTTTTTTTTTTTTTTAAAAAAGAGGACGGCTTTTTTTGTTTTGCTTGAAAAGAAATTAATTTTTTGTGAGGGGTTTTATTTTTTTGTTTCTTTTTTTTAGGGTGCATTATTATTGTTTTTTGTTTGTTATTAAATTCTTTATATTGTTATTGTTGTTTGCAAAGCTAAATGCAGTTCTCGTGTTGTTGTTGTTTTTTAAAAAGTGTAAATATATTTATTTTTTAATTTTATTTTGTTATTGGTCTTCTGCTTGATTTCGTGGGGGGAAGGATTTGTTTTTTTCTCGTTTTGGGGGTGGTGTAGTTGTTGTTGTTTTTGGTGTAAATATATATCTTTGTTTTTTTTTATGTTTCAACAAAATATGAAAATATTTTTTCTAAATATTTTTTATATCTTATTTATTTATTAAAAAAACAATATTTCTTCGTTATTTACAAATAAGTGTTGTGGGGGTGTAGTAGTTGGCGTGTTTTTGGGTGTGATTGTTTTATTTTTTCGATTTTTAGTTTTTATTTTATTTTATATTTTATTTATTTGTTTTAGTTATACCTAAACCTCTCCTCAATGTTACTGACTCTCGCTCTCTCATCTATCATACTTCCTCTAAAATATATATAGTTCTCTCCCTATCTCTCTCTCTCTCTCTGATTCTCACCTTACATTTTGTCATTTCTTTTCGTTTCTCATTTATATATTTTTTTAAAACGTTAGTTTTTTTTCATTGACTAGTTAAACTATTTTCTTTTAAAGTGTTATACACATTAATCACAAAAATAAAAAAAAAATTAAAACAAATAAAAAAGTTGTTTGTTTGTTTTTTTTTTATAAAAAAGCTTACAAAAAAGTTTCTTTAGCCATTTCTTTTTTTTTATGCACAAATCGCTCACAATTGCTATCACAATAGTTATCCAGTTTCATTTCGATGCCTAAACCTAGTGGGGGTTTGTTTTTCATTTCATTCGCATTTTTCTTATAAAAACAAATTAGGGCCTACATTATGCCGGGGAGCACACCCCACTGCTTTGAATATGAAGAGAGAAAGAAATTTTTGAAGAAAATTCAAGGGAGTGGACAGTCACTCACATTATAGGTTTGAAAAAATGGTTTCGCAACATTGCAATTTCTTCAGAAACATTTTAAAATGTTGCCTCAATATTAGAAAATGTTGCCTCAACATTTGGAAATGTTGCATCAAAATTTAATAATGTTGCATTAACATTTAAAATGTTGCCTTAACATTCCAAAGCGTGTCTAAACATTTTAAAAATGTTCCTCAACATTCGAAAATGTTCATTCAATATTTGAATATATGTTGCAACATTTAAAAATGTTGCCTCAACATTCCAAAGTGTGTCTCAACACTCAAAAATGGTGCGTCAACATTTGAAAATGTTGCATCAACATTTTAAAATGTTACCTCAACATTCCAAAGCGTATCTAAACATTTTAAAAATGTTTATCAACATTCCAAAATGTTTCTCAACATTCGAAAATGTTCCTCAACATTTGAAACGTTGCTTCAACATTTAAAAATATTGGCTCAACATTTATAAATGTGGCCTCACTCAACACACAAAAATGGTGCGTCAGCATTCGAAAATATTGCCTCAAAATTTTCAAATGTTGCATCAACATTGAAAAATGTTACCTCAACATTTCAAAGCGTGTCTAAACATTTTAAAAATGTTCCTCAACATTCGAAAATGTTTATTCAACATTTAAAAATGTTGCATTAATATTTAAAAATGTTACATCAAAATTTAAAAATGTTGCCTCAACATCTAAAAATGTTGCTTCAACATTTAAAAATGTTGCCTCAACATTCCAAAGCGTGTCTAAACATTTTAAAAATGTTCCTCAACATTTCTAAATGTTGCCTTAACATTCCAAAATGTGTCTCAACATTTAAAAATTGAACTCAACATTTGAAAATGTTGCTTCAACATTAAAAAATATATTTCAACAACATTTCAAATAGCATTTAAACATTTTAAAATAGGATTCAACATTTTGCAATGTTGCAACAACATTTGTAAAAATTGACGGCAGACTCCAAAGTGTTGCTTCAAAATGCCTAAATGTTGGCAAAGCATTTTTTTTAAATTGGCAAAGCATTTTTTTTTCAACATTTCAAAATGTTGTCTTAATAAAAATATTAAATGTTGCCACATAAAAAAATGTTGCTCAAACATTTCGACATGTTGCTGCAACATTTCAGAATGTTTCGAAGAGGCTTTTGAATGTTGATGCAAAATTTATAAAAATGTTGCCCCAATATTCCAAATTTCAAAAAAGTTGCCTAACATTTAAAAATGTTGCATCAACATTCAAAAGACTCTTCGCAACATGTCGACATGTTGCTGCAACATTTTAAAATGTTGCGAAGAGACTTTTTAATGTTGAGCCAACATTTTTAAATGTTCGGCAACTTTTTAAAATGTTGAGCGCCAACATTTTGGAATATTGGGGGCAACATTTTTGAAAAAAATGGAGAAATATTTCCGAAAAAAAATCGGAGCCCTTTTCTAATTCATATTTTTTCTATTTTTTTCCTCCTTCTTCCCTGGTTCCAATCAATACTTCATATTTTTTATTCTCTTTCAAAAAATCCCTTCTTCCCCCAAAAAACAAATTTGAGATCATCGTAAAAGAGCAATAATTTAAATACTTATTTTTCGTTTTTCTTTTTCTCTCACTATGTGCGTGGTCGGTGGTCTGCAGGAAAAGATCTATCTTTAACATTGCGTATTTTATAAATACATATCACATTCGGTTCATTGTTTTTTTTTTTTAATATTTTACCTATTCTAAACCAGTTTGGTTGTATCACACTCTCGTTCCCCTAAGAAAAAAAAAACCTTTTCCCACAGAGTTTAACAATTAAAAAAAAATTAATAACAACAACAAAAAAAGTAATCATACTGACACAGAATTGCTCTTCAAAAAATATATGGTTTTTGGGGGAAAATTACTGGAACTTTCGGGAGGAGAAGCTATAAGGGAAGAATTAAAAAAAATCTCGTAATAAAAGAGAGAGGAAATTCGAATGCGACAAATGATAGCTGATGTTTAGGTTTTTCTCTCGGCGTTTCAGACAAGTCGTAAAGAAATCGGAAGATAGTCGAAAATTGAAAAAAATTCGCATTTTTTAACTTCTACTTTTTTAAATAAAAATCTTTGCAATTTTTTTTTAGGAAAAATTTTGTAATTGTTAAAAAAAATTTGCAAGTTCTTTACAATTATTAAATAAAAATTTTAAATTTTTTTGATAAAAATTTCCAATTTTTTGATAAACATTTTTGCAACTTTTTTAATTTTTTGATAAAATTTTATGAACTTTTTTTAATAAAAATTTTATTTTTTTTTTAAATAAAAATTTTCCAATTTTTTTTTTAATAAAAATTTTCCAATTTTTTTAATAAATATTATACAATTTTTTTTTTTATAAAATTAAGAAAGAAAGAAATGTTTTAAGCAGGGTGTGAAGAATGATTAAAATGCGCTCTTTCTCACGAATACTCACGCGCGAGAATTCGAATGTTTTCAATTTGTCGCGAATGTTACAAAGTTACAATGAATGCACAAGCATTTGCAATCTCTCGCGAATGTTCGCCGCATTGTACGAAAAAATCACGAACGATAAAATTTCGCTGAAAGCGTCGTCGATTCATTCTTTCGCGAGCATTTATTGGTGAAGAACATTTTTTTGAGGAGACACCCTGTTGCAGTTCTCAGGGCAGCGTTCTGGCAGGTCTGGATATTCTTCCACAGCGTATTACTAACATTCGCGAACCACACTGGCGCTGCATAGCTTACCACTGACCGCTGGCCTATTGCTTTATAAGAGATCAACAAGGTTTCTTTGTCAGCGCCCCAAGTGCTGCCGGCTAGCGACTTGAGGACCTTGTTCCTACTACTCAGCTTACATCGCATAAAGCTATGGCTTACGTGGACGACTTGAAAAGGCTGTAGAACGTTACTCCCAGGTATCTTGGGGTAGTTGGTGGTCGGAATCGGAAATCAATGAACGTTTGTTGTTATTGTTGCCGTTTTGAACATTCGCGAGAATTTGGGAATGTTGGTTTTCATTCGTGAGAGAGAATGTGAGAAAGAATTTCAACCATCAAACGAAACGAACGAACGAATGTTGTTGTGTGCTCTCACTCGTTTGTTATGTGTGTGCGTGTGTGTGAGAACATTCTTTGACGAATGCTCGTTTGGTAAAGAATTTATTGGCATAAATTCATTCGTAAAATGAGCACAAAACGAAAAGAATGTATTGTTGAATGCATTCTCAGCGTTTTTGTGTGCGCACCCTGGGAATAACAAAACACATGTCCAACGTTCACGAACGTTTGCTGTTTTGAGCACTCGCGTTTGTTGTTGTTATTGTTGTTGTTGCCGTTTTCATTTGTGAGAGAGAATGTCAGAAAGAATTTCAACTACCAAACGAAACGAACGATCCGGTTGTTGTGTGCTCTCATTCGTTTGTTATGTGTGTGTGCGAACATTCTTTGCCGAATGCTCCTTTGGTAAAGAATTTATCGACATAAATTCATACGTAAAATGAGCAGCACAAAACGAAAAGAATGTATTTTGAATCATTCGCGAGCAGCCTGGTTTTAAGTGGCCATATGTGATCAGAAAGTTCTCACTTTGTATATTCCACCTCTCTCTCCCTCTCTTTTCTTCAAATATCACATGATTATATTTATCTCTCTCTCTTTAGAAAAATCCAAAGGCTTTGAAGTTCTGAATTTAAAAAAAACTTCTGTCTCTCTCCCCGTTCTTCTCCCCTTCTCTCTCTCTCCCTCTCTCTCTCGTTACATTATCTTATAGGTGTGCTCCAAATCCAAAGGCTTTGAAGTTCTAAATTAAAAAAAAAAAATCTGTCTCTCTCTCCCTTTTCTTCTCCCCTTCTCTCTCTCTCTACATTATCTTATTGCTGTGCTCCACATCCAAAGGCTTTGAAGTTTAAATTAAAAAAAAAACTTCTGTCTCTCTCCCCTTTCTTCTCCCTTTCTCTCTCTCTCTCTACATTATCTTATGGGTGTGCTCTCCCTTCTTGTTTTCACTCTCTCTCTCTCGAATTTTCCTTGCTCTCATACCTAACCAAAATGTTTCCTAAAAACTTGCAGTGATGCTTCTAAAAAAAAAACTGTGGAATTTTTTCGTGTGTGTGTGAATTGTGGGTGACCCGGAGGGGGGAGTGGGTGGTGTAGATAATGTTATGGGTGTAGTTGTTGTTGTTTTTTTGTTATTATAATAAGCGTGATTAGTTAACAAATTGTTGGTTTTTTGTTTTACTTGAATGTTGTAGTATTTTGTTTTTGTTTTTTTCTTTTTCCTAAATTTATAAAATTGGTGCTAATTGTCGTTTAGGTTGTAGTTGTTGTTTTTGTTTGGTTTTATAAATTTAAATTATTTTGTTTTTTTTAATAATTAATTATTGCACATTTAGCTCACAATTAGTTTCGTTTTTATCTAAGGATTTCTTGTTGTTGTTGCTGTTGTTTTTTTTTCAGGGGGTAGTGGCTACGGATTTTTTTAGTTTTAGTTTTCTTTCTTATATATATATAAATATTTTGTTTTTAAAAATTAAATATTACTGCACACTTAACTTAGATGCTGACTTCAATTATTGGTTGGTTGCTTTTCTTATATATATAAAAATATATATAATAATTTTTTATAATAAATATATATTTATATATTTTGTTTATACGAAAACTAAGAAGGCATATTTTTTTAAATTTATTTTTTATGTTTCGTTATAGCGTTCATTAAACCCAAGTTTTGTTGGTTGAGGTTATGTTCAATTTGTTTGTTTGTTTTTTTTTTCTAAGAAAAGTTTCTTTTTCTGAAGAATTTTTATTTTGCGTTTTTTTTTCTCTAGGGTATTTTTTTGTTATAATTTAAGTAGTTTATTGTTGTTGTTGCTTTATGTTTTTTATGAAAAAATGCATAGGTTTTCCGTTTTTATTTTTTTGTTGTAATATTGAGATCATCAGTTATAATTTACAAAAAAAATTAAATATTTTTTTTTAATTAAAAAAAAAAACAATAACAATTCTTCGAAAACAAACTTTTCTCATTTTTTTTTAATACCTCCTCTCTTCATCCTCCTCCAAATTTGTCACCAGAGAATCTAATGCAGTTTCCTTTATTAAACATTATTAAAAAAACTAAGTTTTTTTTAATTGCAATTCTTAAAAAAATGGACTAAGAAAATTCAAGATCATTGAAAAAAAATATTATTTAAAAAAATAAATCATCACAATCGTGCTGTATTATATAAAAAAAAAAAAATAGAAGTGTGTTCTAAACTCTGCTGAGAATTATGAAATTTTTTCCTAATTTTTTTTATGTAATATTCTCACTCAATATTATTTTTTCATTCTACTCTCTTCTGAACCTGGGGGGAAAAGGTATAAAAGTGAAGCGGAAAATTTTCAAAATTTTTTACATACATACAAAAAATTTTTTAGCACAAAAATCTCAAAAGGGAATTTAAAAAATATTTTTATTAATTTTTTTTTAATTTTTTATAAAAAAAGTTTAAAAAACAATTGTTTAATTAAATTTATTTTTTAATAAAAATTTTATGAAAAAATTAAAGCAATGTTTAAAAATTGTTTTTATCAAAGTGAATTAAAAAATTCCTTTCCTTCCTTAAAAAAATTTAAAAATTTTAATTAAAAAAATTTAAAAATTTTAATTAAAAAAATTTAAAAATTTTAATTAAAAAAATTTAAAAAGTTTAATTAAAACAATTTAAAAATTTTAATTAAAAAAATTTAAAAATTTTAATTAAAAAAAATAAAAAATTTCCACTTTTTTTAATTAAAAAAATTATTTTTTTAATATATTTTTTTGTTTATTTAAAAATTTTTTTTAATAAAAAAAGTGGAATTTTTTTATTTTTTTAATTAAAATTTTTAAATTTTTTTTATTAAAATTTTTTAATTTTTTTAATTAAATATTTTATTTTTTTTTATAAAAATTTGAAAATAAATGTTTGAAAAAAATTTCGATATTTGAAAAATGTCAACATATTTTAATGTGGATTTTTTAATAAGAATTTTTAAATTTTCAAATTTTTTTTAAAAAAATTTAAAAATTTTTTTCCTTTTTAAATTTTCCAATTTTTTTTATATTTTCAAAAATGTTATTTAATGAATATTTAAAAAAAAATCCCTATTAAAAATATTTTGATTTTTTTCAAATACCCAAGCTTCAAGTTTTCCTTTTTTCCACAACTTCTATCTCTCTCTCTCTCTCTTGAGGCTCGCTCACAAAAAGGTATACAAATTAAGCGGAAACATTTCCATTTGTTTTTCTTTTTTAATTAAAATTTTTAAATTTTTTTAATTAAAATTTTAATTTTTTTTAAATTAAAGTTTGGAAATAAATGTTTGAAAAATTTGTATTTGAGATATTCACGGTTAAAAATTTTCTATATTTGAAAATAAAGCCAAAAAATTTTAATGGGGATTTTTTTTAAATATTCTTTTATTTAATTTTTTTAATAAAAATTTTTAAAATTTTTTAAAAATATTTTCAAATTTTTTTATAAAAAATTTAATTTTTTTTGAATTGTCAAAATTTCATTTAATGAATATTTAAAAAAAAACCCTATTAAAAATATTTTGAAATTTTTTTTCAAATACCCAAGCTTCATTTTTATATTTTTTCCACTCCTTCTATCTCTCTCTTGAGGCTCGCTCTCATTATTAGGCTGTCAATTTTAAAATTCTCTTTTCAAAATTTTATTTAATGAATATTTAAAAAAAAACCTATTAAAAATATTTTGAAAATTGTTTTTTTTTTAAATACCCAAGCTTCATTTTTATATTTTTTCCCCTCACTCTCTTTTTCTCCTCTTTTTTGCTCTCTCACTATTAGGCTGTCAATTTTAAAATTCTCTTAATGCAGGTTGTTGTTGCTGTTCTATTAAAATATTGTTTTAGTTTTTGTTGTTGTTGTTGGGATTTATAAGCTAATATAGATCGTATGGATGGCGATGATGCTGTCGTCGACTTTGTCCTACCGGTACTATTATATCGTCATCGATTATATCATCGATGTTGATGGGTGCGCATGTGCAGCACAAGGTTATGTTTATGCTTTGATTTCTTGTGACAAATGGGGCACTCGAACTTGGGTTCAACGCCGCACTCGAAACGTACATGTCTATTAAGGCTATGGGGACGTGCATAAGAATTGCCACAACGTTCGCAGGTGTAGGCGCCGCCCCAGTTGGCTGGAGCACCGCCTGAACCTGCAACGCCACCACCACCCACAGTGGCCCCAGCACTACCAGAACCACCCGCACCACTTATTCCCGCCACCGAACTACTGCCCGCCGACGATGTTGCCGTACTGGAGGGTGTGTGCGGTGCCACAATGGCCGAGGTAGATGGACCACCACCCGGTGTACTGGCTGTCAGGCCAGTTGAACTGGCTGCAGACGGACCCGTAACACCCGTAGCAGTGGTCAATAGACTACCCGGAACTGGTGTAACGCCACCGCCACCACCTCCACTACTGCTACTGTAGCGGCGTTTGGGTGATGTATCACCACCACCACCAGCAGTTCCCGGTGGAAAATTCATAAAGGCATGTGTGGCAGCATGGGACTGATGCAACCCGTGGGTCTGGTGTGATGTTGCCACCGCAGCTATGGTATGTAAGGCAGCCTGTTGCAATTGTGTAGCCGTGGTCATACCTGTTGATGTTCCGCCGCCACCAGCTACCGTGGTACCGCCAACGCCGCCGCCACCTCCACCGCCTGCTGCTGCTCCACTAATCATGGCCGCACCGGCAGCCACAGCTGCCTGTTGCAGGGCCATTGAGACCAGATTCAATTTAAAATGGCTCGGCAAACGTAAATCACATGGCTGTTCGCTTTCCATGCAGCCGCCGTCGTCGTCATCGTCGTTCTCATCGTCTTCGGTGCGAAGGCCGGCATGCGATGCTGATGATGATGGTAATATGTATTTCTCCTCGTTTTCATCGAGATTTGTGCTTGGTTCAAATTTTATCACACCACCCGCGCTGCTTCCGGGTAGACCAGCTACGGCCGTGGCTGCTGATGAAGAACCTGCCGCCAGCATGTGCGGCAGGGGACTAGTTAGGGGACTGCGTTTTAGGCGACTGCTATGACGTCGTCGTTGCAAATAGTCGGCAGCGCCACCTAATCTGCCAGTGGAACCATCTGGGGGTGTTGGGTGGTGACAAAAAAAAAAGAGGTGGAAACAACCCCGCAAAAAATTTGGAAAAGAAAAACATTTTTTTTTGTTTTTTGTTTTTTTTTTTTTTTTTTTTTTTTTTTGAAGAAAATAGAAATAAAAAAACGTTAAGAAGGAAGAGAAAAATAGAAAACAAGAAAAAAATATGTCATTAGTATTTTCTTATATAATAAAAAATATTATATATTATTTTTAAAAAAATAAAAATAATAGCACTTTAAGAATTGGATTTTATTTTTGTAAATTTTTAATTTAAAACAAATAAAGGAGGTAAATTAAATTTATGAAAAAAAATATAAAAAACTATATATAAAAATTAATTAAAAATTATTTAATAAAATATTATAAATAAAAAAGGAATTATTATTACCATGATTTTTTTTGCGTAGTGTGAAATGAGAATTATTGAATTATTACATAAAAGTTATTTTTCATTTTTTTTGTTGTTGTTGTTGCGATTGTGAGAATGATAGAGAAAATAAACATTTAACTAAAAAGGGCAGTGGTGATGGTGAAATGTCTATATTGTGTGTGGAGGAATGAAAACGTTTTTAATTACATATATATTATTATTTTTATAGTTTAATTCCGGACAAACAAAAATTTTAAATTTAAGAAAAAATCGATTTTTTTTGGAAAAATTAAAAAATTTTAATTAAAAAAATACATAATAATATAATTTAATTAAAATATATAATAATTAAAATTATTTTATTTTTAGCAATTTTTTTAACTGAAAAAGTATTTATTTTAAATAAATTAAAAATTTTCTAAACTTATTTTTAATAAATTTTTTTAATAACAATTTGCAAAAAATTGTATTAAAAACAAAAAAAAAAATGTATAAAAAAATGAAAATGTTGTGTAAAAAAATTCAAAAATTTGTATTAAAAAAGTTTATTAACAATAAATTTCAATTTTTTTAATAAAAAAATTTCACTGTTTTTTAAATTGATTTTTTTAATAGCAATTCCTTAAAAATATATATTTTTTCAAATTATTATTTCGTTTTTTTTTAAATATATACATATGTATATATTAAATTGATTTTTTTTTAATTATATATTTAATTTTTTTTTCATTATGAATTTTTATGTTATTGTGTTCTTTATGAAAATATGTATATGAGGAGAATGTGAACGATAACACACAGATAGAAAGCTCTTATGTTAGTGACAAACACACACATAAATGTTTTTTTTTTTGATTTTTTATAATAAATAATTATTAATATTTATAAAACCGCCATAACATTTAATTTGAATTTTATTTTTTCTTTTTTCCCCAAATCTATAGGAATTGCATTTAAAAAAAATATATAGACAAGAATAATTTCTAGTTTTTCGTTCTGGAACTTTTCCTATATGGAGTTTTTTCTAACAGAACATAGATATATAAATAAAAAAAAAAAAATATTAACCACTGTAAATAAAATTACTGTTCGACTTGATTAGACCATACAATTGCCATATGATTTGTACATAACAATTGTAATCGATTGTTTTTTGTTATCAAGTCGTTATATTTTAGATTCACATTCGAACCCCTATAGCGATTGAATATAAATCATGGCAAAGATTAAGTGTTTACATATTTGGATATAAGTTCAATACTATATACATTTCTTTCATATATAATTAAATAAATAAATGTTCACAACTAACTTAAAATACGCATGCACTTTATCTTTCTATTAAAAAAAATTCGAAATTTTGAAACAAATAAGAAAAAAAATAATTTACCTGAAAATTTTTCAAAAAAAAATTTTTTTTTTTTTGTTTTGATGTTACAGATAAAATGTTTTTGGTAGGGAACAGGAAAATTGCATATAAAAGATTGTTGTATAAAATAAGAACCGGAAACCATCTGTGCGCTCCAGCTGCTAGAGAAGAAAAATAAATTTTGAATTTTGAAAAATAGATGGGGCCAATATTACACGATGATGATGATGCCAGGTATGTATCTTCCTCTGCATGTTTTTCATTTTTGATTGCTGTTAGCTTCCGTTTCTTACTTTTTGACTTTGACAGGGATAAGGAATAAATTATAGGAGATGTAAGAGTCAAAAAACAAAAAAAAAAAAAAAATATGCTATAAAAAATACAATAAAAGCTGTAAATGGGAAAAACAATAACTTCAATGAAAATAAAAAGAAAAAAATAATTTACAAAAATACCAAGGAAATGTTTTCAAAAGGAGCTATTAATCAAAATGCCCAAGGACATTTAAATCTGGTACGCTTAAATATTTTTTCACAAACAAAATGAAAATAAAAACCAGTAAGCAAAGTGGTAAAGTCGGACTGGGCCGACTATATGATACCCTTCACCATTTTGAGTATATTCAACAGATTAATCCTAACTGACGTCGCCTAACGCATTACACTGTGCAAAATTTCGTGCAAATCGAAAGATATTAAGGGACTTTGGTGCACCTACGCTATGCCAAAATTCGTGCAAATCGGAGGATATATAGGGAGTTTGATGCACCAATTACCTTACATCGGACGCAAAATATATATGGGAGCTATATCGAAATATGAACCGATCTCATCACGAAACTTAGCACACATCATTGTAGACTTAATTCCGTATGCTATACCGAAAATCGAAAGATATATAGGGAGTTTGGTGCATATGGGAGCTATATCTAAATCTGAACCGATTTTTCCAAAATTCAATTAGGGTTCGTCCTTGGTCCAAATAATTTAGCAGTGCCAAATTTCATTCGATTCCAATCAAAAATTCGTACAGGTCGTGGTTTACAATTTAACATCAACAGACGGACGGACAAACAGATGAACGGACATACATAAATCGACACAGAAAGTGATTCTATGCATATTCTCAAAAGGAACCATGGCTCTATCTCGATTCCTTTTGCCTGCACAAAGACATAATACCCTTTATCACACATTGTGGTGAAGGGTATAACAATTTCTCAATACTTTACAGAAATAGTTTTTTTTTTAAATTTTTGTAAATGATTGAGAAATTGTTTTAAATTTTTTTTGAATTGTTTTTTATTTGAAAGAATAGAATAAATAAGTAAAAAGTCTGAGAGTTCCATTACAATAAAAAAAAAAACATTAAAAAACGAATTTCTCAATACTGTTTCAAAAATTAACAGCCTGTTTCTGTAAAATTCTGAATGAACGAATTCGATTGATTTATCACAAAACCAGGTTGGTTGGTCCCTAAAGTGTCTTGAATTCGCTTGTTTAGAACTTAAAAAAAAACAGGCGGTAAATGAGTTATTTCCCCCCAATTGAATGACCAATTCCAAAGAACAATTTAATGGAATTTCATTACAAAATTGGGAAAAACAATCCCTTTTCAAGTAACAAAAACAAATTAAATCTTAAAAATAAAAAAAGTTTGTCAATACTTTACAAAAAAAAATGAATTTTGGAAAAAATCTAAACCAATAAATTCGAGTACTTTACAAACTAAATCCCAATACAAAGTTGTGTACATAGGTGTTGTTGGTATATACGCTAATCACTTGAATTCATCGATTTTCGAATTCAATTTCGAAACCGACTATTTTAACTACATAAACAAATTTACATATTTATTACTTTTTTTAATTTTATAAGACATGATTTAAATTAGGCATTTTACAGATGAAGAGAAGAGAGGTGAAGGGTTGTCTCTCTCTCTATATATCTCTCTCTCTCTCATTTATAAAACTCAATTTTAAATTGCCTAATGTAAATCAGGACTAAAAAAAGATAAAAAAATATTAAATTTTTAATAACATTAACAACTTTTTCAAATCACTAAGTTCTTACAATGGCTATATAAAAATTTTCAAAAAAAAAAAAAAAAAAAAATATTACAATAATTTCTTTTTCTCTGTTTACAAAATATTCTCTAAGGTAAAATACAAACAATATACACAACAGTTGAATTTTATATACGTAGCTAGAAAAGTATAACAACAATAATAATAGTAAATACATTCTACATAAGATATTTTTATTTGGTTGCAAATTGGTATTGGACTTTCAGAAGGCATGCAAACTTCCAAAGATCTCATCTCACTTCTCATGACCCCATCATCATCTTTTTCTCTTCTTCTTCTACAAATTTGTTTTTTATGTTGCCTTTTTTCTTTTTGATCTTCCATTTGATTGTCGTTGTAAGATCATTTGAGAGAAATAGGCTTTTCTATTTTTTTTTTTTTTTGGATTTTCTTGATGCTAAGGAAAATCTCGTCCTGTGTGTGTGTTGTTTCGTATAGATGGAAGATACAGACAGACAAACAACAGGCCACCACCACCACCTGAAAGAAAAAATATGTTAGTAAAAATTGTCATAACAAAAAAATAAATGTAATTTTTTGATTTTTGTTTTGTAAGAAGGGATTTAATGAGGGCAATCAAAGGTTAGTATAAAAAATATTAAAAACCTGATAGACTCAATTTTTAAATTACTGCCTTTGATTCTCAAATATAAAATTAAATAATTGAACCGAAATTGAAAGAACAAATTTATACTACTTGCATGGATGGAACACATCGGTGGGATGTACCCTATTTCTGAAAATAGAAATATAGAGTTTTCAAGTCTGAATTTTGAACTGAAAAAAAAATCAAATTTTCTAGAGGACCAATTGTTATTTATAAAACATCCATGTAGAGTAATTGGCCTCTACAAAGGCCTGGATAAAATTGAAATATTATTTTATATCTTCTCAACATTTATATATAAAAAATGTTATTTAAAAAAATATATAATACAACTTTTGTTTCAAAAATAGTTTAAGGGGACATCCCAAATTCTCGATTTTAAGTTTTAAAAATTTTCATTGGGCTGGTAAATGAATATCAATGCATGTTAAGGTTTGTAACACACACACACACACATATATATATATATAGATTTAAAAGAGAAGAAAAATAATTTTCAAAATTTTGTTGTTGTTGTAGCAGCCCTATTGCTTTTACACAATGGGCTGAGGTGACAGACGTTGGCCGAGTAAGACACGTTTCGGATCGTAGACCCCTCTGTCGTGGAAATGTGTTGATGTTTTTGGTGATTAAAGAAAAGTCGTTATTTTTGATGGCGGGTATGATAAAATCAGAATCCGGAAATTCCAAGGGTGTTATGAACTAGGATCCTTTGATTTTTTTTTTTTTTTTTGTTTTTTTTTTTTGGAAATTCGCCTATCTAAGTTATAAAAGTAGGGAAGTTATTTGCCGATTGGCTTTATCCTAGTTCATACGATAGTTATACAATACCAGAGAAATGTGTCAAAAATTGGAACCGATTGGATTATTAGTTTTTGAGATCGTAAAGACTCTGTTTCGAGGAAAATGCCTTTAAATTTTGAGAATCACTCTAGCCGTCACTTGATGCTAACACAGTAAATCCGGCTATATCTTCAAGAGTTGTTGAGATTTTCACTTGAAATTTTTGTGGGGGACATTCTTGAATTATTATTGATTCGAATTAAATTAAAATACAAAATTAATTTTTTTGAAACCGAGAATGGTGGGTGGGAGTCCCCCCTTTAAAGTGTATGGAAAATATTCTACAAATATATTTTTTAGTAAATTGTTTTTTTGATATTAAAAATATAAATACGTATTTAAAAAAAATTATACATTTTTAAAAAATCTTTTATAATTTGAAATAACTCTTTTCTTTTAAACATAACAATTTTTTTAACCAAAAAAATGTGTAAAAAATAACAAATATTCTCAAACAAAAATGTTTTAAATTTAGATATATTTTTTTAATTATTTAAAATTTTCAATACTCTTTTTTTTCTTTTCAGTAAGCTTTATATAGAAAAAAATTTTCTTCGAAACATTCGAGAATTATTTTAATTTTTAATTAGAATTATTAAAAAAAAATTTATTTATAATTTTTTAAATAAAAAAAAAAATAATTTAAATTTGAATTTTTTAATTTTTTTTTAATTTTAAATGTTTTAAATTCAGTATACAAATTAAAAAAAAAAATCACATTTATATTATATTTTTTTTACATTTTAAAATAAATTAAATTTTCCACCAAAGATTAATAAAAAAATATATATAATAATTCTGAATAAAAATTAAAATAATTCTCTTATGTTTTTGAAGAAAAAATGTTGAAATCACGAAATTCAAAAATTGTTATATTAAAAAAATATATAAAAAAACATTAATTTTAAATAATTTTTTTTTATTTCAAATTATTTCAAAATTTTTAAACTAACTTGTTTTTTCTTTTTTTCATTGAGCTTATATAGAAAAAGTTTGACATTTTTGATTTATTTTTTATACATAAATCTCTCAATGATTATAAAAAATCGAAAATTTCACATGATTCCAGTAATACATTCGAAATTTCAAACTGAATAGAGTTACAAGTTTCAATTCCTATATAACAATTATAAAATACTTTCATATCGCAACAAACAAAAAAATTATATAAAAATGTACAAAAAAACAGTTTCAATTTTGTAGTAGCAAAAAATATTCTTGATTTTTAAAATTTGAATTTTTTTTCAAAATCAATTTTAAGCATAAATACAATTTCAACTGATGTTCAAAAAAAATTTTTTTTTTTCAATTTTGTAGTACAAAAAAAGATTTTTGATTCCTTTTTTTAATTTGAATTTTTTTCAAAATCAATTTTTAGCGTGTTCGTTTTTTCCTGCATAGTACATACAGTTGCAAGTAGTTCAAAATTTGTTCTTTCAAAATTCTTCATTCATTTGAATCCAAGTCAATATTTGCATTATTTTTTGTGGGAGAGGAGGTCATGGTCATCCTGAACTCAAAATGCAGCCTCGAAACGATGGATAATTCCTTGAAAAAAGAAGAGAAACAAAAAAAATTAATTATAAAATATTAATAATTATTTTCAGTATTTACAGGGAGATATGAGAGAGAAAAGGGGGAGTTTGGGGGAAAATTGGGATTGGAAAAATGTGAAATTTAAAAAAAAAAATTTACATAAATTTGAAAATTGTTTAAAAATGCTGTTTGAAAATATGATAATGGGGAAAAAATTATTGGAGGAAAAATAAAATTCTATTTTAAGGAAAATGATACTGGAGACTTGAGATGGAATTCGAATATGGACAAATATGGAATTTATTTTTTATTTAATAATCATGATATTTGTTTTTACTTTTTTTTTTAAATTATGTTATGACTTACATGGATTTCGAGTATGAGTGGAACACAAGTTGGTGACAGACATAGTAAGGTGACCGAAAAGTGTCATATGGAAGTATGAGTATGATGTTTGGTGTTTCGGGGCTGGGTGTATGGAATGAATGGAGTGGAGTGCCAAATGATTTTTTTTTTTGTTTTTTTGGTTGGTTTTCAAAAAAAAATTTTATGAATCCCCATATACGAGGAGTATATAAATAAAAAGTCTAACAATATTTATTTTTTTTAATTTTTTTATTTTTAATTTTTTTGTAATATATTTAAATGTATTTTTTGTGGTTTTGTTTTCTTTACATAATTTTTTTTTTTTTGAATTTTTTTGTTTTGTGGGAATGTGTGTGTGTATTATAATATTATATATAATAATTATTATTACTTTAATCTATATTTGCAATATTCTCAAAGTTATGCAAAGTTATTGTGTTAGAGAAGTTGGGGGGATTGTGGTGGCAAGAGTGTTGGTTGGGCATGTTAAATCCCAAGGGGTTTTTTCTTTAACACAAAACACCTTCCAACTGAGACTGAGGACACTCAGATGGAAGATGTATGTGGTAATAAAAAATATCTCCACTTGGATTTATAGTGTGTGTGTTTTTTTTTATTAGTGAGTAAGTGTATTTTTTATTTTTTTAATGATAAATATATATATATATATATATATATATTTATATATATGATAAAGTGTGTTTGTGTGTGTCTTGTTTTTTTTTTGTTATAGCATTAATATTAGAAACTAAAAATTACACATGTAATATTTTAAATATTAAATTATTGTATGTTTTTTTTTTAATTTTAATAATACCTTTTAATAATATTTTTTTTTTTTGTTTATATATAATTATAATAATTTGCAGACTTTTTTCAATATATTCAAATTCTGCAAATATTTTTTTTTTATTATTTAATATACATTATATTGCCAAGTATTTTTTTAAAGAGTTTTTTCTGTCATAATATTTATATAAGCTTTTTGGGATTTTTTTTTACTAATACAATATTTTTTGTTTAAGGTTTTGCATATAGAGCTTCGTGCTTTGAGAGTTATGCCGTAAACATTTTTTTTTTTTTGAGAAAATTTGAAATGGAATTTTTTATATAGGTTTGTGATTAAAAAAAAATAATTACAAAAATAAGTATTTTTTTTTTGGAAATTGTATATGGGAATTGTTCATATATAATTTTTTTTTAAGGATTTTTTTTTTTTGCAAAATTTTTAATTACAAAAAAATTAAATGGGATTTTTTTACATATTACAATATTTAAAATGGGATTTTGACTAGGGATTTGAGTTAAAAAAATACAAAAATAATAGATTTTTTTTTAAATTTTATATCTGGTTTTTTCATATAATTTTTTGAGGAGTTTTGACTAGGTTTGTTATTATTTTTTGCAAAATTTTTAATTAAAAAAATAACTGCAGAAAAAAAATTAAATCTGTTTTTTTATATATTAAGATATTTAAAAGGGTTTTTTACTAGGTTTGTGTTAAAAAAAAATAATTACAAAAAAATAAAAAAAAAATTTTTTGAGAAATTTTATATGAGAGTTTTTCATATATCAATTTTTTGAGAAGTTTTGACTAGGTTTGGGGTTTTTTGCAAAAATTTTTTAATTACAAAAATAATTAAAAAAAAAATACTAAAATTTTTTTCTAAAGAAAAAAAAATGAAAAATCATAAAAAGTTTAGAACTAAAATCAAACATTGACTAGATTGATGTGTTGTTGTATTTTTTTCATACATTTTTTGTTGTTGTTATAATATACAAGTTATTCTTTGGTAATTGTTTTTTAGATTTATATTTATAGATAAGAAATTACATTAAGAAAGAAAGAAGGATATTTTTTAGAAATCCATGACTAGCAAAAAATCTTTTTTTTTTGGTTTTCAGTTTTCACATACATACATATTATTCTAACATTAATATTCAATCTTACATACAATATTTAGTTTTTTTTCTACAAGCAAATTATTTTCGGTTTTTTTTAATCTAAATAATTAAAATATAATATTTGTTGTTTTTAAAAATTAATAATATCGTTTTGTTTGTGTAAAAATTACATTATAATTAGAATGATTTTTAAATTATATTAATTTTTTAAATTAAGTAAATATTTGTTTTTTTTGACTAGAAAAAAAATTATATTCAGGGGAATGTAGCTTCATTATTTTTTTATATATGGAGAATTCATTCATTTGAGATCGTAATAAATATTATGTTAGATTAAGGGACTAGAATGGTATGGTAATACATTTTTAATAATAAACAAAAAATTATAATAAATAATAAAAAAAAAAGTAATTTTTTTTAACAAAAAAAAAAAAAATATATATATATATTTCAAATCGATTTTTTTGATTTGGAATCCATAAAAATTTTTTTATGAAGGAAATTTTATGTGTATAACAGTTAGTACAAATCAGTATAACAGTTATAAAAACTGCTAAAACCATTAGGAAGGGTTTGAAAATTAAAAAAAACACGAAATTTTATAAAAAACGGTTTTTTTGATGTGTATAACAGTTACTACAAATCAGTATGACAGTTATAAAATGTGCTAAAAACATTAGCGAAATGTAGGATTTAGAAATGTAGAAGAAAAAACACGGAATTTTATAAAAAAAATTAATGAAATTTTTTGTGTATAACAGTTACCAAAAATCAGTATAAAAGTTATATAAACTGCTATTTCTATAAAAAAAATTTGTTTTTGAAGGAAATTTTATGTGTATAACAGTTACCACAAATCAGTATAACAGTTATAAAATCTGCTAAAACAATTAGCGAACTGTAAGATTTTGAAATTTAAAAGAAAAAACACGGAATTTTATAAAAAAAGAAATTGTATGTGTATAACAGTTACCAAAAATCAGTATAACAGTTATAAAAACTGCTAAAACTATTAAAAAAGAGAATAAAATACCATATATTCTCGATTTTAATGATTTTTTTTTCAGTGTATAACAGTTATAAAAATGTGTAAAAATGGAATGTGTGTTAAGCCCAACCATGGAAGTGTATGGCTGTTATACAGCAAAAACAATTTTTTGTTAACTGTTATAAAAGTTGAAAATTTCGAAAAAAAAAAATATTAAAAGAAATTGAAAAAAAAAAACATTTGAAACAAAACCTAAGAAACTGCATACTATTGCATGATTTGATATTTTTGGTGAATTTTTGTGTGTACAACAGTTAAAAAATATGTTCGTATAACAGTTATATTTCTTTTTAAAAACAAAACAAATCCAAGAAAACTCGAAAATATCCAATGAAATGTTTTAAAAATTCGATAAAATGTATTTTGAAACATTTTCGAACTGTTATGCACAATTTTTAACACTGTTGTACATAATTATTTTACTCAAAATCACAAATATATGCCAAAATATGGAAATATCTAACATAAAATAATTTAAAAATTCGAAAAGAATACAATTTTAAACAATGTTATAACTGTTATACATAATGTTTGAAACTGTTATACACAGAAATTATACTCAAAATCGCAAGACTTTGAAAATCGTTTACATATTTATGCTTTAGAATTAAAAAAAAAGAATTTTCGGAAGTTATATAACTGTTATACAATATTTTTTGACACTGTCATACACACATAAATTACTCAAAATCACAAAAAAAATCACAAAATTATGTTACATGCTTGTGCATGGAAAATGTGGACAAAATTGTATAACAGTTATACAAATTTTTTTAAACTGTTATACATGCAAAATTAGCAATATTGGCAAAAAATCCAAAAATAAGTAACATAAAAAGCTTTAAAAATGTGAAAAATTAGTTTTTCAAACATATATATAACTGTTATACAAAATTTTGTAAACTGTTATACACACAAAAATTACTCAAAAATGTTAATGTATGTATTTTGTGTTACACATATCCATGTTTTCGTGAATTTTCGTCAGTATAACAGTTATAAAATTTTGTATAACAGTTTAAAAACATTTTTGAAAATGATGTTTTTTTTTTAATTTCAAGGAAATTAAAATTAAAAAAAATTTTTGTCATTTTAACTTATCAATTTTTTCATTGCACATTAATAAATAAAATATACTTGCAGGGTGGATTTGGGGGAGACCACCCCCTGGGTCTTGAAAAAATTAAAATGATTTTCTTCATTATTTTTTTAGGGTTTTACGTTTTTCTAATTTGAGGGAGTGACATCCTGAAACTCTTCTTCATTATCCAAATCTTCATCGACACTAAAGGTCTCCTCGGAATCACGATCCCGTTCATCATTATTTGGATCTGAAGTTTTATTTTCTACGGATTCTGGCGGCTGCTGCTGCTGTTGTTGCGCTAGGCTATTCGAAGTGCTGGCGATGTTGTTGCTGGTGCTGCTGCTGCCGCCCTTATCATATAATAACCTGATTACCTTCTCCCTCAAATTCTCCAACTTCTATTCACTTTTTTGAAAGACCAGCGTATAAGTGGATGTGGTGTTTGAGCTGCTGGCCAAGGTTGCTGTCGGGTTGACGGTGGTGGTGGTGGTTGTGTTCGAGGAGTTCTCAACGGAATTGTTGTTGTTGCTGGTTGCTGTGGAATTCTTGGTCTGCGACGACAGTTGGGGCTGTTGCACCTGAACCTGCTGCAGTAGCACCTGATTCTCTTCCTCGGTCCGCTCACGACACTTGGTGTTCATGTGACGCTTCAGGTTGCTGTGGACATTGGTAGCATAACCACATAGCTTGCTGCAGAAGTAACGCGGCGGCTGGCCACATTCATTTTTCAAATGACACTTGAGGCTGTTCTTCCATTTGTAGTTGCGATTGCAGTTGCGACAGACCCAGGGCTTTTCAATGTCCGCATTGTAGATCATATCCTCGGAGTGTTCGAGCGACTCTTTGCGGGTCCTTTGATTTTGGGTAATCATGCGATAGCGGCGATCATCGGAAATGGAGGTTCTAAAATCTGTTGTCGAGGAGCCGGAGGAGGTGGCTGCTTTTTCGGGGCTTGCGGAATTCGAGGCGGACAATGGGGCCAATGGGGGTGCGGTGCCAGTAGCCG